TATAAAAAGGAAACTTGTTTCTGCATTTCCAGGTCTGCTCTACTTGTTGACTACCAGCTCCCCAAGGCAGAGACCACCAATGTATCTCATCCCTCTTACGTTAATGGTGCTTGATTTGTTTATCCAATTTAGTCAGATCAACCTTGAGGCTTCCTCATAGCCCCTAGAAAGCTATTTCTAGGAACTTTCCTTAGTTTCATTTTATTATATTAGTAAAGTTGTATCCCTCCCCAAACTCTCCTAAAAAGATAAACATTTTTTGAAAAAAGCATTTATACTTTTCTAATACCCTCAAAGTCATGTCATTATGAATCTGATAAATCCTATTTTTGACAGAAGCCAGGGTTTGGCTTTAAAGTGGCAGCGAAGGGTTAATGAAGAGCTTACCATGTAGCTTTAGCAGGGACTATTGACCAGCTGATAGAGACTTCTAATTTACACTATCCCACAAATCCCTCACTGGTTCCAATTTGGGCTCCAGGGAGGGGGAGACACAGACACAGACAGACAATGAATGCTGGTTGAAGATGGTCTGTTAAAGAAATCTCATAGCTTTAAGAAATTAAGCAGATAATATCAAGGCCAGGTGAAATAAGAATCTAGTAGCAAGTCACTACTACTAAAAGTGATAGAATACACCAAGATCAGCAGGAGACATGTAAGCATCTTCAGTAAAAAGATTTTTCTGATCTAAGCCTTCTACCCAATTGTTTTACCTCCCACAGAACAAGGTGTTACACACACACACACACACACACACACACACACACACACTACAGCAAGAAATTAATTGTTCTGTAACTCAAGTTTAGCATGTAAAAGGTACCAAAAAACATTTTGCTGAGAAAAGGAAGAGAGCTCTTTGCAGAATGCAGGTTAGCCAACCACTTTCCAGGCCATGGGCAGGGAATACACACTTTCAAAGAACGCTCCAAAATGTTGACAATAGATTCAGGAAACAATATATAGAGCATTCACCTAATCTCAAATTTCAAACCACTTCAGAATGACCTGCTCAATTCACCCAGCATCACAAAATTAAGGCCAATAATTTCTAGCATCAAAATAGCAAGCAAGAGGGATGTAGTTCACAAATGAAGTTAAATTTTATTTTTCCTTCCAGATGCTCAGTTGCCTGTTAATTTACAAACACAGAATAAATCATAGTGGAATATCACAGAATCACTCAAGATATGGAGGAAGATTGCTGAAGCTGAAGAAATTATGGAGGGTGTGGCAGGGAGGGAGGAGTATGTGTGTGTATATTCGCAGTATTCTGGTTTGGTAAAATGTTGACCTTTTTTGTATTTCATCTTTATTTGATAAACTCATCTCTAAATATACATAAAATTCAAAATCTGCCAGTGTAGTAAGAGAGGCCCAGTAACACTCTGGAAATTAATTCTCTATTGAACTATAGATACCTTTCTCTCTCCATATTTTGCTCTTTGGATAAGGCTGCAGCAAGAGGGGTTGGGTGACAGTTATGCCAGGACAAGAAGGTTCTTAAACTATAAAAGCATGTTTATCAAAAACCTTTTTTCACTAACCGTTAAAATAAGATTCCAAAACAGGAAAAGCATGTGTATATTTCATTGCAGATAAAAATCAAATATATAACACTGTTTAAAAAACCCAAATGTTCAAGTAATTTAATACTTTTGTTTTTTTCTCCTGAAATTTATAAACAGATGAAGTTATTTTTGTTTGCTTTTGTTGTTTATTACCTTTAACCATCCAAAGAAAAAGAAAAAACTTTCAGGTCTCTCTTTTAAGAGGAAGGCTTCAATAGCACACATTCAGGCATCTGTATTGCTGTGTGCACACTACCCCCTAGTGATTGTTTTACAACATTTAATAACAAAGCTGCTTTCTGGTTAGTAGTACCAAACAGTATATACTGGGAGACTTAAAGGAGTCTGGCATCTTAGGAATCACATTTAAGGCCCAATTCAAGGTCAAAATAAATCAGTGAGTCTTTTCAAGCAAGGTTCTTTGGGCGAATCTGGTATCTTTTATTAGACCAACTTAAATAGTTGGGGGGAGGGGGGGTGGGAAACTGTAGCAAGCTTTCAGGTTTTAAAAACTGTCAGGCTAAGGAAGTCTCTGCATTTGGCATGTGCTCTTTCATCGGGGATTCCTCAGCCCTGATCTGCTTGCCTAGTATAAGATTAAATTTGGATGGGGTGGGGTGGAAGTTAAAATTTGAGTTGGAAATAAATCTACTATGAAGGTATGGGAAAAATAACCCATGAATCTCTCTCTGCAGTGCTGTTGCATCTAAAATACTGAATTCATAGAAAAGCTTCACTGCCATGAAAACGCAATTAAAAAACAAAACAACACACCACACCACACACTTGAAGACCACTATCTTAGCATTCACGAGTGATGATGGGCTTATACCTATTCTTCAGTGTTTTAGAGTATTGTATTTATCTGTTATAGTTCTGTAGGCTTCACTTAAAAAAGCAAAAACCAAACCCTCATGAGGTGGGAAACAATCAACTAAAACTTGTGCGGGCTGACTCCCGATCCCGCCTGGATCGCCATGTGCGAGCTCTCTCCCCATCTCATCTGGGTCGCCATGTGCGAGCCAGGGGCCTGTCTTTGTGTGTACACAGGCTGTGGCCGGTAGCCTGGGTACACGGGGTTGGAAAAGGCCGCGATGCGGTATGACACACTCTAGCTAGAATCAGTCACGGAGGTGTAATGGTTGATTGAAAAGATTATTTACTTACACCCAAGGTGGTCGCAGTGTAGGCTGGTCAGCTTTCCAGGCTCAGCTTCGCTTGAGTTCTTGGTGGAGGACTAATAAACTCGGTTCCTTGACCCCGGAGTGATTCAGGCTCCGCGGGGTTCAAGAATTCGTTCCCACGGAGCAGCTGTATCTCCGTGAGTGTTACTCGGGTCCCAGGTCCCCCGGAGTTGTTAAACTCCGTGGGTTCGACAATTGGGTCCTTAGGATAGGGATACGTCTGGGCTGCAATTGGCGACGGGGAGAGGCTAGAGGTTAGTTGCCTCGGAGTCGTTAAGGCTCTGAGGGGACGGTAAATAAGTCCCGCGGAGTTGTTGAAGCTCCGTGGGTTCGACAAATTAAACCTCTGTTGCCTTCTTAAGGAAAAGCTGGGTTCATATGGATCAGCAGCGCTTAGAGAGCCTCACGCTCCTTTCCCGAACTCCATGTGCTTTCTTTCTCTCTCTCCTTCCTTCCAATTTGGGCGGAAACCACCCAAGCCTTTTGTATGGCTAGCAAGCCAATAGCTAGCCGCCACGTGTGCTTACATTAAGACTGGCCAATAATGTGGCGCGAATCCTAATACAAATGGCAGTGACTCCTTGCATCGCGCATTGCTATAATGCAAAAGAAATGCACTATGCAAAGAAAGCTACAGAACTGGCTGGAAAAGCTCCTGCACGCGGGTTCTCTGTTGCAGCAGAACACTCCACCGTGCAAAAGAGCTGCAATTTGGCGGGAACATGATTTAGCGATGCCGAAGCACACACAAACAAAAAAACCCACAACTTTGGGTTGTGACAAAAACTCAGTAGCTAGTTAAAACTAGTGGAGATTTAAGAACTTTGAGTACCACACCCTATTTGATATTACCATATTTACTTGAATAGTCCACACCCCCTCCTCCCACCGCCACAAAACAGGATTAAACAACTCCCAACCCCACCCCCCCAAAAAAAGCAACCCCACACATCACATACTAGTCTGGAATAGGCAGCAGCTCAGATCTGGCTTCAGTCCTAAGTTTAGGGTTGAAGCTGGAGCTAAGTCACTGCCTGCCCTGGGCCAGAATGGCTCATTTGGTGGGGCAGGGGCTATTTGGCTTGTAGCTTGGTGGGGTGTGTGGAATTAAAACAAAAACCCATGACTTCACAGCCTGTTCCCCTTTCCCCCCCAACCCTTAAGCTCCACACACACCCCTCCACCCTGCCCCCACTTCTCCCTGGCCAAGTACAGGTAAGAGCAGACTTCAAGGGGGGAAGGGGGCAGTGGAAAAACAGTGCAAGGGAATGAGGGAGTCTGGCACCTGGGATTTAGCATCCCCCCACCCAACCCACTTTTTGTCACATCAGTAGCAGGACAATTTAAAATCCCCCCACAGTACTTACTATTCTATATATTTCAGAGACAAGGTGTCATCTTAAATTCAAAAAGTCATCTTGGATTGGGTAAATATGGTACAAGCAAGAACTTGGACTTCAAGCCCCTCCTCACTGAGATTTCCTCAAGCCCCAGGGCTTAGTCTTCATTTTGATGTTTCTAAGGTATTGTCTTTCAAAAAGACAGAAGAACCCTATTTTTCGGTACCTCGAGAAATTTAAATTTTACTCTAAGTATCTTCCTCAAACTCCATTTTTTGATGTTCATATTGTACCCTAAGCATTAAGGATAGTCAAAATATAGCTGAGTAGTGGATTATTCTGCTAGTCACTACAGACCATGGTCTTCCCTACATCATTTTTTGTCATCACATTTACCCGAGTTTCAACTTACTCTCCTTGGGCAATATGTGGAAGAGGTTACATTTAGAAATCTACATAGTTAGAACAGGACACGGTTCACTATCAAAGCCAAATCAGTAGTGGTAAGTGAAGTGGCCAGTTGTCAGAGTGCTCAAGTTTAACAGTTCTAAGCCTCATTTGATTTCTATGGGGTAAGTCAACTTACAGTATTTTACTGCACACAGAATGCCTGAATACTGTATAGGAAGTTTTCTAGTAAGCTTACACCTGCTCAAATGAGCAACTGTCACAAATATAAAAATGTAAAGCAGTTCAGTGGCCCTTGCATTCAATTTTATATAGTAAGAAAAAAAATCAAGAACTTAAGAGTATGAAAATAAACACCAAAAGAAAGGTTCATACCCAACCGTTTAGTTATAAAAACATTTTAATGCAGTACAAACACTGGAGTAATTCTGCATCTGTTTGCTTATGATATCGAATAGCAGATGTTGAACTGTATGAAAAACAAGAAAGAATGCTTCATTTTTTTATGTAGTTTATTAGAAAGGTTAGAGCCAGATGAGCACCATCTCCACCCAGGTCTTCCCAGAATAATTTAGTCTCTCTGTAGAAAGAGAAAACAAAACAAGTCAGTCCCGAAAGTTATCCACGAAACAGGATATAGTCATTCACTTTATACTGGGTAAGCAGCAGAGGACCTATCCTCCATGTAAAACACTGAGGTGCAGTTTATTAACATCATGATGTAAAGTTTAAGCCGTAACTTGTGCTGATGTAGAATACAGGAGACAGCATAATTAGCCAGAGTATAAAGCATTAGAAAGTTCATGACAAACATGCACTCAGAACACCAGACATTTAGCATAGCCAAATGTAACAAACAAACAAACAAACAAACAAACAAACAAACAAACAATTACCTGCAAGATCTATTTATCAGCTCACTGAAACAGAGGAGGAAATGGAAAAAAAAAAAAAGTTAGTAATCCTTTAAATGATAGACTTGAGCAAACTTTTTAGTCATGATGCCCTATAAAATCTGCATAGATTTGCATTTGCTAAATAAATAATGAAATCAGTTAGAATTTTGAGGACTCATCCACTATAAAGGGCACTGCTGGGCTTCATACTCGTTTAAACAGTGCTCTTAAAAAAGGAAGAAGACCGTTTGCCTGGAAGCTTAAAGCCAACTACAAGCTTCTTAAGAAATCTGCAGCAATTAACAAGGCTTTTGATCCTTTGTTATCTATGAATTTCTACAAGTGAATTACTATACACACACGTTTCTCAAACTTTGTGCTACCACAACCCCGAGTGCTGGACAGTGAGCTCACACACAGCAGCCGCCACCATCCACCACTCTGTGCCACTGCTGCCCCGCACCACTGCGGTACCCCCTGGGAAGTCTGCAGCCCCCTTTTAAGCTGCTTATGACCCCCCCAGGGGCTGCAACTCAGTTTGAGAGCCCCTGACATACACAGTTGGGTGTTGCCAGAGGCCTATTTGCACATGTAGTTATAAAAATAAAATCCAGGCATTTTTCAAACACACAAAATTTGTGCTCAGACTCAAGCTTTGGGTATAGCTGGATTTAAAATGTATTTTGGCAGAGACAGGTATATACCTAAAGCAAAGGAGTACTCATGGAACACTGTTCCATGAATAGATGCTATTACCACTTTGGCTTAATAGAAAACATCCATGAACAGTCAGTTTAGTACAGTATAACTCTGGTTCTTCAGAAACTGTAGCTACCCACTTAGTTCAGTGCATTGCTGAAATAAACACAAACAAGCACATCAGCTGTTTGTTGCAACTTCTGCTTCAAAAGGTCACCACTTCTCCAGTCAAATGAACCATGGAAGTGGCCTTGCACAGCCGATTAGAAAAAGCTTTGCCCTTTGTAAAAAAAGCTAGAACACTTCAACTGTATAACCCTGAACAGTTGACAAACTTTCACAAGGAAAGTAAGCCTGCAAAGTGGCTGTAACATTTGTACAAAAGTAACAACGACTTGAAAATAAAGCCGTTTTGCGTAGAGTGACAATAAGCAGCAGTAAGGAACACTAATGGAGGCACTATGCAACATAGCATCTCTATATAGCCATAAACAATGGTCCAGTAAGTAAAATGATCTTTGCATATGAAATGAATTAATTTTCAAGCTTACTTTCTAACACACCCTCAGATTATGTGGGAAGCAAAGACTCAAAGAGAAGGTTGTCCTAAACAAATTAACTATATATCCATCACTGACCAACTATCAGCACATCTTAGGCGTTCATAAGCAACAATCCACTCCATCAGACCAATTTGGTCAGAAAGGTCTGAGAGGCAGAAAGCACCATGGAGTGCCACCTTGGAGAATAACATGAATATTAACCTTCTCTAGATTCACTACAGCAAGAGCAAGGATTCAGCGTGCACCAGTTAAAAGAATAAGCACTGCTTGTATACACACCTGTTGGAGTCTACACCAGCGCAGCTATAGGAAACATGAAAGTCTAATATACACATTCCTAGTGAATACAAGGCATTACAGTGACTAAAAATAGAAGTCAACCTCTTGTTTACATTTCAAGCAACTGATAGTAAAACGAAATGGTTCAGACCACAGAACTAGGCACTTAGGGAAGGTAAAATTAAGGCACCTGAAATTATTTAATCTCCAATAGAACACATTTCAGGATTAATGAACCTCAATTCTTTTAGCATTAAAGAAAAAAAATGCACGTAGAAAGCGAAGGAACTTAGTTGAGTGTCAGGTATTAATGGTAACCAAAACTTAAATCCAAGGTTGTTTTTCTTCATTGACAGTATACCCTAGATTCAGTTTTTTTGTAGGCAAGCAATCCGATTTGCCTCTTCCTTTCTACTTACGCAACAAAGTTTCTTCAAAGTTACTCTTTGAATCATAACCTCCCAGGTGTAAGCAACTAATAATACTCCCAGGCACCCATTTCAAACAGAAGCTTTTAGTTCAGGCTTGATAAGTAAGTAGCAGTAACCCAACTGAAAGCATCAAGTAAAGCATCAGCATGCATCATGTACTTTAGACAGAAGTCTCTCCTCCCATAGTGGGTACATAATGACAGCAGAGACTGGGATCAGGTCATTACATACCATAAATAACACCAAAAAGTTGTGTGCATTTATTTTAATACCAGCAATCCATGTAGATTTTCACTGTTCCAGGAAACCAGAGAAGTTTTCAAGCACTGCCAACAGTTGTTTTTAAAAACTCTAATCAACATCAGATGGATAAGAGTCAAGAGAATACTTGCTTCCCTTTCAAAATTATATTGCTTATAGTTAAGGCTAGGATAGTATACCTGGTCAGCTGTCAAAAATCCCTCCCTTGTACTGTGTTTCCATCCCATTTAAAATTAAGATCTCTCAAAGTGCAAGTAAAATACCTGCCTCGTTTTTTAAAAAGATAAATTACGCAGTAATATTAAAAATATCCAAACATTTATAATGACGAGTAAGAGAAGATGCAAAAAACAGCTTAGCTTTAAAATGGAAGCATCAAATACGTAGTATTGTTTTTGGTTAACTGCCTCCACTCATGGAAAATAAACTGTTTATATGATGAAGCTGTTGGCAGTGGAACAAAAAAAGGTGGCTTCTGCTTAACTGCTGACAAGGCTTACACAACAATAAACTGTATTTTAGGATTCTACAGGATAAAAAGTTAAGGATTATTTTGTGTCAGTATCCTGTTATTCCAGGTCCATGTCATATGCATGAAACCACCATTTGAGTTTTCCTGAAGATACAATATGCTCATAGCAAAACGCAAGTTACACATGCAACCACATTTTGGGCCCCTACTTCTGAACTCATGGTTCCAAAAAAGTGCAATTTTAAAAAGTCCTGACCTCTTTCACACTGGTTATTTTATTTCTACATAACAGTTTAGCACATGGATCTACATAAGACTTGTATTTTTATGATAGAGAACCCAGATCTTACTTCAGAGCAAAATTTAAATCATAGCCTCCCTCAGGTTTCATGGAACAGTTTTGTACATGTAGCAGAATACAGTACAATAAAGTGGCAAAGAGTGAGTTCAGAGCAAGAACAGAGGCATGCAAAGCAGCAGTGTTTCTATTAAAAGCATCTCCAGCGTTTAAGTGATGCATAGCTTATAGTCACCACATCCATGCTCATTCTCAGTACCTGCTAGACACTTCATTTCTGATGGAGAATTCCAAGAAAGTAGGAAAGAAAAAAGGTGAAAGTAAAGGTTACCAGGATTCAAGGATTCAAGAGGTATTAGATCATTTAAGATATAAGCAACTACAAAGCTGTTAAAATGGAACACTTACACGTAACCCACAGTACTATGCAGTGCTGAAGAATTGTTTACCTCTTTTGAACCTCCAAAAAAAAAAAAAATCCCTTAACCGTGGCATTTGATTTTTTAAGATATATAATCTAAGGAAGAACAGAGCTTTTCTTTGTTCCCCGAGATTGTCCCAGCCCCCTTTCCAGGTTTGACATCTGACTTGCTTTCCATCTGAGGAGTTAACCCTATTCTTGTTGAACTGTACTATCACTTCTTTCACTCAACAGCAAGGAAACATCTTGCCTTCCTTCAGCATTCACTTTTAAAGTGCACTACACCGTGGCACCCTAACTCCAAGTCTGGAATTACAAATTCCAAAGTCTACAATTTTTGACCATTCAGAAGGTATAAAGAACAAGTTTGAAGTTGCAAGGAGAACCAAGGTCATGCTCTAGTTAACCAAGACTTTCAGTGATGCAAAATGGCATCTCAGTTGCTCTGGATTGCAGCAAAACAAAACAATTTAAAATTTTCAAAATCCATAGAGTGAGAAACTGAAGCAAAACTGAACATGCCGTCAGTTAAAATGTCACTTCATACTATATAAGGAGCAGTCAAAGGTGAACAAACTACACTACTGCAGAGCTAAAAAAAACTAGAGCACCATATGTATTACCTTCTATTAACCAGTAGAAAAAGGTAAAAGATAAGAGAAAAGATTACTTAGACAAAGAGACTTCAAACAACAAATTTTAAAGCCACTATCTAGTCTCTGGTCCCTGAAAAACTTTCATCCTACCTTCTTGCCAGCACCAACATTCGCTTTCGCTGTGCCCCTGACTTTCTTCATTCTGTTTTTACGCTCCTTTCGCTGTTTCCTGGAAGTCTTCTTCTTTTCATACAAGCCATGCTAGTAAAAGAATTAATAAAAATTATTCAAGCGTACTTGATATTAAGTACTTTTAGTGCTATTTATAAATTTCTGGACCTATAATATTTATATAACAATATTACTTAGAACTTACAAAATTTAAACTTTAAGTTCCCTATCAAAAAATTGCTACCTGAAATGAAAACTTGAGGGACTGAAGGAAAAAAAAATTCTGGCTTTGAGCCAAACTATTCAAATCAAATGCATATTCTTACGGCAATAATAATAATAATAATAATAATAATAATAATAATACACCAAAATGATCAGTTATTACTAAAATGCACTGCTCAGTGACAGGACATTAAGACCTTTGTACACCCTGTACCTGCATTTTAACTGTTGACAGAATGTTAAAAAGAACCACATAACTTAAATCTTGGATTATAATTGTGCACACAAGCTGCTTAATGTCAAGAGCAAGTGTCACAGCACTACGTATTCTAAAAAAAAAAAAGAAACAGGAAACCTACCCTGGCCAGTCTGTGTTTTGGTTCATTCTTCTTTGCATAGTCCAGGGAATCATAGATCATGCCAAAGCCTGTTGTCTTGCCGCCACCAAAATGCGTTCTGAAGCCGAAGACAAATATTACATCTGGGGTCGTCTTATACATTTTTGCCAGCTTCTCCCTGATTTCTGTTTTGGGGACAGTAGCCTTCCCAGGATGAAGAACATCAATAACCTAAGGAAAAATTGTATTAAATAGTATTCAGATACTGAAAACATCACAAACTTACCTTAACCAGTATGATTTTGTCAGATTTTAGAGAAGAATCATTGTATTTAATGTACCATAGCTGGAAGCCAACAGTTTTAACAAAGATGAGAAAGAAGCCTTTCTGAAAAAGCTCAAAAGAAAAGCTCTTGAATAGAAATGTTGTTCTATCCGATTTCAATCATAGAAGAGAATGGCTGGAAGGGACCTCAAGAGGTCATCTAGTCCAAATACCCGCTCAAGGTAGGGTCATCTCTATTTAAAACAGGGGTTGCCAGCATGTGGTAGGGGAAATGTGTGGCATATGGCAGATCATGGAGGGGAGAAGCAACACAGTCGAATATATGGCAGGAAACAGAAAGGAGAATAGAAGAGTGGGCAGCGGATGGGGACTGGAGTGTTACTTGAAGTAAGCGCAGGATTCATCTATGGCCATGCCTGCCAAAAAGGGTGGCTCCCACTTATCTAAGCCACCCTGAACAATTGTTACATCTCAGCATTTAATATATTCCTAAAAACTCCAGGAACAGCCCTCAGACATAACCATGAGGTACAGTGCCCAAAATATTAAAAACACAGCCTTTAACCTGCCACAGAAAAAGCAGAGGATGAGGGCACTGTCAATGTCCTGTTCATGAGGGGAGTAGTAGTTTGTTAAAACTATATTCAAGAGATCCAATTGTACCTTTTACCTCCAGTCTTACGTCACTAAAACGGCTATAACTTTAAAAGCATCTAATGGAAACCTTCTGTTAAAAATAAGATACCACCAACTTTAACTGAGGAGGCAGAACCCAATTCATTTCAACTTTGGATACATCCATTAATAAAGGTATTTTAATACCATGTTGAAATCTGTTCCTGAGAAGTTAATTGATCTTATGGTCAAAAGTTTAACTTTCAGGAGCAATAACCTTCCTGGCTACCATGCAAGCACCTAGATCAAGTTTCAGTATTCCTAAAGAAATGGCTCAGTGGACAAATACTTTAAGTAGGTAGCAAAGTGCCATTCATCTTTTTGAGCCCTCTTAGAGATTCAAACTCAAGCATCATCTACTCCAGTAAGAACCAATGAGTGTTCTTTCCTTCCCCGAGCCCTCACACAAACACCCCTCCATGTTTTCTTCCCACATCACTTGTGGCATCCGCCCACCTCAAAGTACAAAGGATTAGTAGGTGTCTGCTCACAGGAAGTGTGTATACACCTGAGATTAGGACTGACTGGTCTTTAAGATACTCTTTTTAATAACAATGAATTGCTAAGAATCAAGATAAAAACTTTCAAAATTAATGCTGCAGCAAGTAAGAAGAAAGCTACTCTACATGTTAGCCAAGCAGATTGATGGATCTTATCCCTAGCTTTCCTGCCTTCAGCCATCCTAAAAGGTGACAACTTTTCAACTGAGAAAAAGTTGTACAGTGGAGTCGCCTCTTACGCAGGGGTTAGGTTCTAAAGTCAGCACGTAAGGCGAAAATCGCGTGTAGTCAAAATTACCATGCCAGCAGTGACTGCCCCTGCCTCCAAACCCTCCCGCCGCCACCGCAGAGCCGTGCTTACAGCTGTGCGGCTGGCAGCAGCAGCACAGTGCGGGGGGGGGTGGTGGGAATGGCTGCGTGCCGCCATGGCCACCACCACGCTGCCGCTGCCACCCAGCAGCCAGCCACACAGCTCCAGGCACGGCTCCATGGCGACAGCGGGAGGTTTTGGAGGCAGTGGCCATCGCCACCATAATGGGCCTCCAGGTAAGCGGTACCACCCCATGCAAACTCAAGCTCTGTCCCCCCTCCCACCCGGCATATAGTTGAATTTGTGTAAGTTAAATGCGCGTATGATGCGACTCCACTGTATGAACAATGATGACAATCATAAAATAAGTAATTCAGCATTTAACAGATGAAGCAAGGCAGCAGCTACATTTCAATATATCCTTACCATCTGCTTACGCTGAAGCAGTCTGTTCGTCATAAACTTCCTGGTTCTGATGGTCACTGTGTCATTCTATGGAAGTGCAAAACACACACATTAATGCACATTAGCCTACAAGTCATATAAAGCAGGCTTAACGTGCCCAAGATTTAGTATGCCATTTTAAATAAACTCAGGAGCCAAGCTGCAGAAACTACAAGTTGGCTCTGCAGTCACAGCCAGACAAAGCAATGCTCCCCCTTACCCACCCCAGTCAGAAGGAAAGAAAGAGAGCCCCGACTTTTTTGCATAGCTGGAGCACTGGAAACAAACTTGACCCCTATCCTGGGAAACCAAGGCCCAAGCGAGGTTTGTTAGAGGCAGCTTAGAGACTCTCATTTGCTTCTACACCACAGAAGTCGCTGAGGATTTAAGGCAAGCGCTGCCTTCGCAGTCAGGCTTGAACGCGATGATTCCCAAGCCCGTCCCCCGTCCCCCACGCT